ATATAAATGATACTGTGCAATCAGTCGACCTTATCGCCTGAATAAGACTAGCAGTAAGCAGTCGAAACATCTCAAGTGACTACATCATGAGACAAACGATAATATACTTTATTATTGAACAAAGTATATTTGGGAGGGATGGGCAAAGGAGATGTGAGGGGTTGGGGGAGGAGTCGGGGTTAGTACGATCCAACGGAACACCCTACAAATCCACATATATATAAAAACACTATGCAGTACCCCGAGGGATTCACGGGCGTTCTAGCCAACAGACCTTTTAATCTGGCCTTAATTTCTTCACTGAAATAGCCGCATTCTATCCACTCCTCGAAATCAGAGATGAAATCGAAGGCGGTCAGTCCTGGAAGAAATAACAAAACGGGAATGATCGTTATCATCTCAGTTGCTAGCCATTTTGAGGTGGGTTTTATACAAGTCTCTTTAAACTCAGCATTATCCAGTGTGAAGTTGAGTCTCTTGAACTCTCCCTAGCCCGTCCGGGTTCAACCCTTACAGTTTAGGTTCCAGACCGTATCGCTGTTTTCACCGTTAGTGATTTAATTGGCCAACCCGGGATGATAAGGCATTCTCCACCTCACGTAAACCGCACGATTTTCTTTGGTCACAGGTATCGCGGACGCTCCGTTGTAACAAAACTCCAAGTTGTTGTGCTGTGACCTTGTGACCACAGTGCAAATGCTTGCTTCACATCTTCTACGCATAGCCTCGTGTTTAGCCCATCGCGCAGCAGCAAGCGACGCGCAAAATGAAAAGCCTGGAAAATAGATAGGAACGCATTTCATACCTTGGAGGTTTCTTGACCTTACATTGGCACCTGTGCGTAACAACACCAGAAAAAGAAGTTTTTACTAAAGTCGAGCATCAAGGGATCTTATAACAGTACTCTAGAGAGTCTTTTAATCTAATTTCTCAAACTCTTAAATAATTCATCAAGTTTAAACAAAGGAAATCATGACCGTGGCTGTGTTTCGATATCTGATCTTAATTCGCACAGATTTTACCGACTTTATTTCTCCATTTTCTCCTTAGTTTTAGTTTCGAGTGAGAAAATATGTCAAACACGTAAGACAGTGTTTGACCACATTTCCAAACACCTCGAAGTTCGTCCAAAAAACACTGACCGCTGCACGTCGTAGTTTCAACTTTCTTCTCGGTGTTTGAAAATGTGGTAAAACACGGTCTTTCGTGCTTGATAAATTACTTACAATCACAGATAGACAGATACAGACATTAAAACCATTTCTCTGTAATAACATACATAATCTACATGTAGCTACACAACATTCAATGCTCCCTAATTACAGTTTGATAAAAGGTCTCACTTTGCTATAATTACTTAGAGAAAGGAATGTTTTTGTTCAATATATTCGTTGAGCTTAAGGTGGCCGAACACAGTTTTCACGCGCGCTTTTGCTGATGCAATTCAGCGCGCGCACAAGGATTGCAAAAAACAAACATGCCGTCAATAGAGC